GATTGTCCAATCTTCCTTCTGAGGAGTGGCTGGTGGGTTTGAACCATCAGCCTTCTGGTTAGCAAGCACTATGCCACCAGAGCTTGGAAAGAAATCTTACTACTACGCCACCACAGCTTGGTTAGAATTAAGTCTTACTAGGGACAAAAAGACCTGTACAAAAAAAAACTACAAATCACTGCTTCAAGAAACCATAAGAGATCTACATAAATGGAAGAACATCCCATGCTCATGGATAGGAAGATTGATCATTATGAAAACATCAATTCTACCCAAAGCATTCTATACATTCAATGCAATCCCAATCCAGATCCATCATTATTTAAGGATATGGAAAAACCAATCACTAACTTTATATGGAAAGGAAAGAGACCTTGAATAAGCAAAGCACTACTGAAGAAGAACAAAGCAGGAGGTCTCATACTCCCAGATCTCAAAACCTACTATACAGCCACAGTAGTCAAAACTGCCTGGTATTGGTACAATGACAGACACATAGACCAATGGAATAGAATTGAAACAGATCCATCCCAGAAATAGATCCATCGACCTATGGTCAGCTGATCTTTGACAAAGGGCTGAAATCCATTACATGGGGAAGAGATTGTCTGTTTAACAAATGGTGCTGGTAAAACTGGTTATCCATTTACAGAAACATGAAACAAGACCTTTACCTCACACCATACACAAAAACTAACTCCAGATGGATCAAAGATTTAAATGTGAAACCTAAAACAATACTGTTCTTCAAGGAAAAACTAGGGGCAAATTTAGGGGCCCTAATTTATGCCATAAATAGACTGTCAAACATAACCTAAAATGCACAAACAGCTTAAGATAACCCAGATGAATGGGACCTTCTAAAAATTAAATTTTTATGTGCTTCCAAAGAATTATCCAAAACAGTGAAAAGAGTACCTACAGATTGGGAAAAAATATTTGGCAATGACCTATCTGACAAGACACTTATCTCTAAAATTTATAGAAAACTCCAACACCTCAACAATAAAAAGACAAATAATCCAGTTCAAAAATGGGCAGAAGACATGAATAGACACTTCACCAAAGACGATATTCAGGCGGCCAACAAACACATGAAGAAATATTCACGATCTTTAACCTCTGTTGTTGTTGTTGTTGTTGTTATGTGCCGTCGAGTCAGCCCCGACTCATAGCAACCCCTCCTTGGGTTTCCGAGGCAGTATCACT